AGGAGTTAGGAGGGGTAGAGGTAGACCTACATTAGATTACTGTTCGCAAATAGTTAAGGATGTGGGCTGTTCTAGTTTTAGGGAAATGCGAAGTTTAGCTCAGGATAGGAAAGAGTGAAGGTACGTGTTCAACCAGGCTTAGGACTGACGACGATGATGATATTTAACATATTGACCCAAAAAGGAATTAGAACCTACGGTATATTATATGTGTATTCCGTAAAATTCAACAGCGAAATGTCAACACTGTATGGGTCTTGAATATGAACATGAAATACTTCAGTAGTAGCAAATACCCACTGGATGGCGAATAATTTTCTTTTTATGTTTCTCTGTATAAAAATTTTGTTACAAAATATATTTCGGGTTGCTACACTGGTACAGATCTACTAAAGAGGACCTTATTAGATCGTCCTAGAATGGCTTAAGGTGGAGGGGTTTTAGTCGGTAGGTTCGAGGACACCGTCAGAAATCCGACACTACCAAGTTGTAAGAACGGCTGGGCGTATTTTAATGATTCCCCTTTTCCACGAAAAAAAAATTGTACAGATTGGATTAAAGTATATAAGGAAAAGGTAGGAAGGACAATGCAGTCAGATTAATCTACAAGATCCCCCATAGCTACAAAGTCCCTGTACTTATGGGAAAACTATGATTAAATAAATTGAAAATTATAAATTATTTTAGCATAACAAGTCAGTATGAGCTCGAATCATTGCTTCGAGTGGTCGAAATTCACTTTTGTGAATAATTTGTTAATTACTTTCTTTGTGTCAAAAATTGTTTGAAAAATTAAATTTAAAGAAATTGTTTGTAAATAGGTATGCAGCACATCATACACTTCAACATAAGAAATTGCTGATACTAACGTTCATTTACGTAATACTACTTCGCCCTGTGCTGACAGCACTCATAATTCAATCAATCAACATTTTAAATAACATAATAAAATTAGCATTAACAAAATTAATAAAATGGTGTTATAGTATATACAACTTATACAATGTGCTTGTTACATTGACATCTAATGATTTATTTAAATTCATTTACTTATTGTAGATCGCCTGAAGAAGCAACAATAAAGGTTGCAAAACGTCGCATTAATAACAAACCTTTTCAACCTTCCATATTATTGGAAAAAATCAGAATGTATGAAGAGTATTTTCAATTTTTCTAGTGGTAAAATAAAGCGAAAACGATAAAAGAAAAGATAATAGAAGACTTACCGGTGTAGCAAATGGAAACTAATGTATGGGCATGTCTTCTTAAGAGTATACTTTCGTTGCCCCAATGGAATCGTTCAATAACTTGATCGATGTAATCGTAACCGGTAACAGCCGCGATGTTCCATTGCAACTTTGATAAAACTAACACTTCCCAACTCTGAAACAAAATTTCTATTTATCGAATGCACTTTAGAAATAACTAACAAGTGTAGGTACTTTGTATTTGATAGAAACAGTAATGATGATCATTAATAATCATATAATACCAAGTTGGTGTTAGTGGAAAATTCTCTAGAAATACACACAAATCATGCGGATAACAGATAATTAACATTTATACCTATTGTTAATTTGTCACAGGCAGATATTCTTGAACTTACTATGGAAGGGGAATATCAGCAAACGTGTTAAATTGCAGCGAAGTAGACTTATTAGATATATATATTCACAAACAATTATTTACAGTATAAGAGTATCAACAAACGAACGAGTAATTATGATTAACTGGACAAGTGCAAGTGCTTTTTAAGTCCCTGGTCATTTCTTATATCTAAAACTTAAAACTACGAGGAAAACGCTAGGTGTGGTGAATATCACTTTAAAACATTTCGGTGCATACTTATAAGGCGGGGCTTTCAAACTCAAAAATTTTGAAGAGATAGATGTTTACAACCCCTGAAAATCGGCTATATTAAATAATAAACAAGCGGCACTTTCTAACTGTTAATCCCATAAAACAAACACTCCATAATAATAATGAAACTGTATTGGGAATCGTAAAGGATCCTTCCTGCACCGTTACCTCTATAAACTAATTTAACTATTTAACTGATGCATCTAGCTATCCTCAAAGGGTCTACTATCAAATAAACACAACGCCGCCTTGTAAATTTGCAAAATATTCTAAAAATTGTATACAGGAACTTTATGACCTGCATCAACAAGAACGATCTCTGAACATCTATAACTTCGTTGGATTACTTTAGCATTCTTATGGAAGTTAAGTATACAACGTTTGTTGACTGATACTTATTGGGATAGTTTAAAATATAGGGTTGTTCGGAAAGTCATTTCGTTTTTTCCCGACAGACGATTTAATTGTATTCTTTTGCACCCAACTTCACATTTAAGCCGTATAATTTTTATATGCTTTGAGAGCTCATATAGCAAGGCTTGTGTGTGAAAAATTCCAATTAATTCTACGCAGTAGTTTTTGGTTGGTGCCCTTTTAAATATGGAGAGCGATAAGCAGCATTTTCGACATATCTTACTGTTTTACTACAGAAAGGGTAAAAATGCTGTTCAAGCCAGAAAGAAATTGACTGATGTGTATGGAGAAGGTGTGTTGACAGTACGCCAGTGCCAGAACTGGTTCGCTAAATTTCGATCCGGCAATTTTGATGTCGAAGATGCACCACGTTCGGGAAGGCCGGTTGAAGCTGATAAAGACGCGATAAAGGCATTAGTTGATGTGAACCGGCGAATAACAACACGTGAGATCGGATTGAGGTTAAATTTATCAAATTCAACAGTTTATGACCACTTGAAAGGCCTGGGATTATCCTCGAAGCTCGATGTATGGGTTCCCCATGTTCTCACAGAGAGAAATCTGTGTCGCCGCATTGACGTCTGCGATTCGCTTCTCAAACGTCACGAAAATGATCCGTTTTTGAAGCGCATCATCACTGGGGACGAAAAATGGGTTGTATACAACAACGTCAAACGCAAGAGGTCATGGAGCAAAAAAGATGAACCGGCTCAAACCATTTCCAAAGCCGATATTCACCAAAAAAAGGTGATGCTGTCTGTTTGGTGGGATTTTAAAGGAATCGTTTTTTTTTAGCTTTTACCGGATTACACAACGATTAATTCGGAAGTCTACTGTCATCAGCTGGACAAACTGAATGATGCACTTCAACAGAAAAGGTCAGAACTAATCAACAGGAAAGGTGTAGTGTTTCACCAAGACAACGCGAGACCTCACACAAGTTTGGTCACTCGCCAAAAGCTTTTACAGCTTGAATGGGATACAATGCTACACCCACCATATTCTCCAGACCTGGCACCATCGGATTATTATTTGTTCCGGTCACTCCAAAATTTTTTAGACGGTAAAACCTTCACCTCAAATGAGGAGGTCAAAAACCTCCTCGATCAGTTTTTTGCCAGCAAAGACCAAAAATTTTATGAGCGTGGAATTATGCTACTACCAGAAAGATGGCAAAAGGTGTTGGACCAGAACGATCAATATATAATTTAATAAAGTATTTGTTTATTATACGAAAACTGTCTTTCATTTCCACAAAAAAAACGAAATGACTTTCCGAACAACCCTAAACAAAAACGGCTTAACACAACAACAGCAAACATAAATGCCATGTTATGGCAAACGTAGCATCAACCTTGCAGTTACCTCTATTAATAAGTTGCCAACCGATTAGTATAAAAGATAAGCGATACGCTTCAATTTAACATGAATATTCATCACGATAAATAACTCTTGCATTGGCTAATTTTTTCCCTGTAGTAACGTCATGGATCACATACAATATGGTTTTTGTTTTGTATGGTTTAACTACCATATCAACTTATGTTTTAGTCATGGTGTTCCTCGATACTGTAACAGAATAGTTGCATAGTTTAGCCATAACCACGATCGCACCTTATCTGTGACGACCCTATGACCACATATTGACATCTAAACGCGTCGAACACGGCAAAATATTGGTGATTTTTAATTAAAAATTCCGATTAAACTCTAGATACCTATGAGCCAGTTTCATCAAAAGGGTGAGGCTTTCACGGCCGGCTTTATCTAAATAGTGCTAGATATGGGGGCTTAGGATTGTTCTCTCCTTCGGTAAGAATAGAATCTAGCTCTGCATTGATATTGGTTGACCTAAAAACTGATCACCAATTTTTCCATGTCTACAAATTCATCGAGAGCGTTCACTATTGATTAGAAATATACCGAGTAGTGATTTTGTAGAATACCGGATGAGAAGTTGTTGGTTCACATCTTTACTATTAAATGCTGCCAAACAAATCCTAAACAACGTAGCACCCGTTGTAAAACTTTAAACAAGCTTTTGTATATTTGGTAATATTTCACCTTATTCAAATTTTTCTAGCAACAACCGCTTTCTATGCATTAGGTCGGGTACACATTTGTGAATTTAAAATTAATATCTCAATTAATTTAGAATTAGAAGCCTTTGATGTCCAGAAGGACGGGCAGAGCAATTATAAGGATAGATAAAAATGGGCAAATGATTGGTATGCTTAGATTTACAGATGATATAGCAGTATTAGCATCTAGCAAGGAGTTAGAGATACCTTTAAATAAAATAGAAGCGGTATTGTCAAAACAGTACTGTATGAAAATAACAAAAGTAAAACAAAAATATTGGTATGCAAGGGAAAAAAAATAAGGAAAAAGCAAATATAAAGATAGAAGACGAAAAATTAGAAGAAGTGGCTGATTTTAGATATCTAGGAAGTCAGATAAGTCAGGACGGAAGAAGTAGTAAAGATATAAAGCAGAGGATAGCCCAGGGTCGAGTCGCCTTCAATAAAAAGAAGTCATTTCTATGCTCGCGAAGGGTTAATTTAGAAATTCGAAAATGATTGTTAAAGGTGTATGTTTGGAACGCGGCGCTGTACGGATGCGAAACATAGAAAGTGGACGTGGCGGAAAAAAAAAGGTTAGAAGCATTCGAAATGTGATATTACAGGCGAATGATGAGGATACTGTGGATAGAGAAGGTTAGAAATGAAGAGGTATTAGAAAGAATAGGAGAACAGAGGATTCTATGGAAGTCAATGAGAAATAGGCGAGATAGGTTAGTAGGACATCTTCTCAGGCATGAAGGTCTAGTCAGAGACATATCAGACCTGGGTTAGATTATTGTTCGCAAATAATTAAGGATGTGGGTTCCTCTAGTTTAAGGGAAATGCGAACTTTAGCTCAGGATAGGAAAGAGTGGAGGTGCGTGTCCAACCTGACGACCTTATGATGATGATTCTTATTAGGCTTGTTAAAATCGAATCCTCAATCATCAAATTCAGTCAAGAAGATACCATAACAGCCAAATCAGTATTGACCAACTTTGACGTACTCTGGTGGAAAAAGAGAAACTCCTTCCATTAATTTCTGCAATGATATCAGATGGTCCATCTCGAAGTACAAATTTGCATTAGATTGATGTAATCGAACAAGGAATGTCCGATTTTTTAAGGAATTAGACATGAGAGATAATTGACCATTATAAAAACTTACAAATTCTACTCCGACATTTCCGTTTTATTATGTAGATGTCAACGTGTACTACATAGGTAAAAATTACAGCAACAGTTCAGAAACCTTTCGTAGACAAGGACAATAGAGTAGTAATAGCAGGCACTAATATGCATAGATAGATGGTCATTGTAATAACAAAGTGAGTGAAACCTGTTGAGTATTTTCTGCCTATGTAGGTACACGGATCGTCGGTTGCTTTGCGATGATCCATTACATAACATCATTATTCCTTCATGTGTTTTACAAGTTGTGGTCGTCATTCTGTTTCGGTCCACGGACTTGCAAGTTCGCCGAATTTCACGGGAACTTGACGAAATGTTAATTGTCACGGTACAAGATGATGATGTCTTGAAACGTACAGTGACATTATCTCGACAGGAATCCTTTTAAAAGTTTAAAAGGCCGAAACAGATTCGTACGTATATGTCTAATAAGGAGGAAATAGAAACTGGCTACATCTCATAAACTACAATGGAAAATTAATCTAATGACAGTGGTTACTTAAGGAGATATAAGCAGAATAGTATGTTGTACATCTATCTCCTTTAATAATACAATTTTTGTAAATAATAGAACAAATCGTAATGAATATGAATTCTTGAAGGTGTACTTCGTCATCATCATAAGGTCGTCAGTCCTAAGACTGATTGGACACGTACCTCCACTCTTTCCTATCCTGAGCTAATCTTCGCATTTCCCTAAAACTAGAACAGCCCACATCCTTAACTGTTTGCGAACAGTAATCTAATCTAGGTCTACCTCTACCCCTCCTAAATCCTGTTTCTGCCTCTAATATGTCTCTGACTAGACCTTCATGCCTAAGGTGTCCTACCAACCTATCTCGCCTATTTTTTATT